GATTGAATATCACTGTGATTGTCTAACATTCCCAAAATTAAGTACACAAATTTGAGTATTGATCACAACTGGAATCAACAAGTCAGTCAGGAATGCCTAAATCATACCAAATGCATAAGCGGTGGCAGGATTATACTCATTTCGAACAACTTTATCACCATCTGGGTACCAGGCAATCTCATCTCCTCTCTGATATTCCCGTTCACTGCAACCACATATTCAATAATTTCAGGATTCACACCGCAGTATCTCACAATTCAATCCTAACAATTGAAAACCTCGAACACCTTCAACCAAGTTCTAAATAGATCTAATTCAATCCAATGAGTGCTAGCATCTACCTCATAGGACGAAACCTAACCGTCACCGATATACTCTCCCCCGATCTGGAAGCATCCACTGGCTCCGCAAGAAGCTCATCCGCCGACGGATAGTGGACTGGAGTACGACTTCCATAGCTTTTCGGATTTGCCGCAGCGCTCCGATTTCTGCTCGGCGTCGTGGATCTGGAGCTGTACCCATTAGTTGAGCCGTAAAAGGAGGTGTTCGATGACGAGGACGAGCGAGGTATGAGCTGCTTGCCGTTCATGAACGACGAAGAGGATGAATACGAAGAGAACGGACTCGACGGCTTCCGGTGGTGAAATGGCGAACTGCTTCGCCCTCTTGACGAGGATCCCGCCATTCCTCTCCCCTCCCAGTTCACCGATTAATCGTGCTAAACCCACAACACACGCATGTTCATATATATATATATATATGGAGAGAGAAAGTCAAATACAGTCGTATATGATATGGACGAAGAAGAAGAATAATGTGTCAGATATCACATGGTGTCGTGAAGAACTTTGCTAGATTTTAAATTCCTTCGCAAGCCGGTGACTGTGAAAGCAGAAAGCTTCAGCAAGCTCAGACGACTGTATCTATTTATGTGTCCATAAATTCGACTTCATGGAAAGATAAACTTTCTTCTGCTTTAAGACAAAGAAAAGTTGCAGAAAATGGGAGTAGTGAGAACGAAGGCGAGAGATTGATGAGCGACGGAGTTGCTACCAAGTTTGAATTTATTTTTGTTGGATATTTTATTTTAAATTTTTAAATGGAGTTAATACCCAAAATGGTCCCTCGACTATGCCATAATTACCAATTTGGTCCTCAACTACCATTCTTACCCAATTAAGTCCTCAACTATGTAATTTTTACTCAATTAAGTCCTCAACTATACAATTCTTACCCAATTTAGTCCTCAACTATACAATTCTTACCCAATTTAGTCCTCTGTATTAATTTGACTGTTTGTTGACTATCAAAAGTCGGGATAAAATTATAATTTTACAAGATTTCTCCTTCCTCTCCATTTAGCAGCGCCAAACCATGCAGCAATACACTCCGATCAGATTTCGATCGTCAAAAAATCGTTGGAAATCAAATTCATGGGCTATCCGATGCATAACCACTACTTCGATACTGACAAGTTTAGAACCCAACCGGAGCTATTGCTACATGGTTTGGCGCTGCTAAATGAGGAGGAGGGAGAAAACTTGTAAAATTATAACTTTATTTCCACTTTTGACAGTCAACAAACAGTCAAATTGACAAAGGACTAAATTGGGTAAAAATTGTATAGTTGAGGACTTAATTAGATAAGAATGATAGTCGATGACCAAATTGGTAATTACGACATAGTCGAGGGACTATTTTGGGTATTAACTCTTTTAAATGGTTCTTATTTTCTTTTCTTTTAATTCGAGATGGAGTAGGCCAAGTGGGGCCATATGATTAGGAATGGAAGCGGACAAGCGGTGACGTGGTGCGGCGCGTGCATTTAATTTTTAAAAACTTGGTGTTAAAATGAGCGGGAATAACCGTGGCCGCTGACGACACCTGAAGGTAGAAGGTTTTTTTTTTTTTTTTTTTTTTTTTCATAAAGTAAAATTTTGGATTATGAATGTACGGTCACTTACCTTAATCAAGCTGATTTTTGTTATAAGAATAAGCCAATAAAGAAGTTGAGTTATTAATCGCCTTAAATTGTTGGTGTTACATATAAATTTACTACAGTATATTTTTTGAAAGCTACAACAATCTAATTTTTTAATTAAACTACTTGTTTGATTAAACTATCAGTCATGTCACGTGTCTATTTAAAATTTATTGAGTTGAAACGATAACTAAAATTCTAAAATTACATTATGTGTTGATTATATGTCCAACATACAGTCGTTTTCTTGATCTGCAATGCTACAAAAATATATTATTGAGATCAAATCATATCATGTATAAGTATGTATCTCAGTCAGTGACTATTTCTCTTCGAGGTAGTAAGTAATCCATTGTCCTTTTATATCAAAATAAGAGTTAATTAATTTACATATTAAATTGTTTGTTTTGAATGTCACCAAACTGGTTTGAATATAAGTGTAAATGTCATGTTAAATGTTATTTAATCCCTTCTCCTATATAAAACTTTGTTGAACATGTGAATTTTAACAAGTCATACAACGTGCATTTTTTTCTCTCATACAAACTATGCTCTCCTCCCTCAAAATCTCTATGTTCAAAACCTCGTTCTACTTTATCAAGTTTATTTGTTTGAGTGCTCAAACATTACATAATTCGTTTTATCACATGAAACATTGAAATCTAAGTTACATGGCTCATAGCACCTGTAGGAGGTAGCAAATAAAATTTTAAGGAGAATATTGAATACACATGACTCGAATTAAACATATTCATTTAATTTATTGTGCTTGTATTTTTATAGGACTTAATAATTTTTCCTAGTATTATTTTCATACACCATATTAGTAAACAATAATAATAATAATAATAATAATAATCATCATCATCATTTAAAAACATAATAAGTCTCAATTAAAGGTATATCATTAGTTTATGTCGATCTTTTTGTATGCTAATAAATGTATACATTTTACTGTAAATGTTATACACTTCAATGTTATTATCAGTGTTGAAAAAGGCGTTAGGCGCCGATTAATCGGCGCTTAGGCGTCCGATTGTTTATTTTTATTTTTAATTTTTGTATTTAAAAAATTCGAGGTTTGACCGCCTAGATCGCCACCCGCGGAGGAGGCCAATTTCGGCGTTCCTCGACGTGGCCAGGTGCCGCCTAGCACCTAGGCACGATTTTTGCAACACTGGTTATTATACAAAATTGTCTCTAATACATTATTGTTATACAAAATTACTATTATACTGTTATAATACTGCTACTTTCCAATTCTAACAGTGATAACGCCATCATTATTATCATACACCTATATCTATCATATATTTTTCATGTTCTTTAATTATCATTTTATTAAAATCATTATATAAATAATTTAATGATTGATTATATTTTAATTAAATTTATATGGATGGTAAATCATATATGTGTGTGTATGAAGTACATATATTATTTGTGTATATATAATTTGAATTATTTGTATTTATCAATATTTTAATATTAAGCATGAATTTTCGCACATCGCGTGTAAAAAAAAAAAAATAAATAAATAAAAAATAATAATAATAATAAGGTGAGGAAACTAAAAAGGTAAGATGTAGCAAAAATGTTGTTTTCTTCATCTCCCAACCAATCATAGCATATGCAATTCGACCATATAAATATATATAATATGGTTGCCAAATTAATGACTAGAGAACTAAAGAGGTAAGATGTAACTCCAAGCCACCGATTGATGGCGTATCCTAAATGGCAAGCTATCAACTGATTGAGTATGTAAAAAATATATAATTTTACCTGAATTAAAATATTCCTCTAATTTTATATTTTTTTAAACACATCATTCAATATAATTAATATGTTGGGTTCACAAGGTGCATGCCACTCGATTGCAAGCCTAAGCTAGCAAGTTACTCTACTATAGTAAATGTTGAGTTTATTATTGTAATTATTGACTTACTCAATAATATCCTCAAATAACTTAGTCAAATACGAGTATAGGAAGCATGATAAATACTAAATTTCAATTATCCCATTGGTTGACTATGTAGCTATTTTTTTTTTATTTTTTTATATCACTATGTCAAATTTTGACATATATACTTATTAATTATGATTTAACTTATAACAATATTATTTAGTCGTTAGACATAACATTCTCGACACACACGTATTTGTGTTACTAGTTATGTTATATTTGTTGGATTATTGGGTTATGAATTACAATGTTTCCCCTCTGTATTTTTTTAGTATTGTATACATATGAATTATTGTAACAAGGATCATACAAAACATCACAACTATATAAATATGAAAAATGTTGTATTTATTTTTTAAGGTGACTAAAGGAAGTCATAATCACTATTTAAGGATATATATTTCGCCTTTAAGCAATAACATACAAATCATACAGATAGTTGCTAGCGATCTCAACTCCCAGTTGTATTCATATTAATTAATTGGTATAATAAGCTACAATCAATTATGACTTATTTGATCACTTTTAGTTGTTTGACTTTGTTAAACAATCAATATGAGTATTTGATTAATTAGCTTTTTGTAACAACTTCTTGTTCAAAAATGTTAAAATTCAAAAAACTGTTCAAAGTAGTTTTTTGAGAAAATCATTTTGTATATAATTATCTAACAACTAACATTTAATTTATCAAACATTTTTTTACAATCCGCTAATATTATAAACTAGTCAAACACACTAACCCAATCAACTAAAAGCTATCAGCTAACAACCATTTAGCAAACATCAATTGGAAGCTTAATTATATTGATAGCACATGCGACACTTTCTTCCCCATTGGCCATCGTGTGGTCCTCAACATGGTATGATTAAGGATGAAAATACATACGCACATGTGGTCGTCCTTCGTACAAGCTGTGTCTCTCGGACACCAAACACTCCATTGAAGTGGCTCACATGCAATCCGCCAAAAATTATCATTACAAATCTGCCTTTACAGCTTATCGTAGATTGCTTAAAGCCCATCACATATTTAACAGAAGGCCCAATTCATAGCTGGATTGATAACCCAAGCTCACCAGTTTTGTTTTGGCGGATACTATCAGATTTTGTGGTCTGAGTGAGATCAACTTGATGATAACATGGAGACTTGGAGAGTTGGGAATTCCCAGAATTTCAACAAATACTCAAATTCTGTTCTTTATATTCTCCATCACTTGCTTTTGTGTGGATTCTTACCTGCGATCTCGAAAGGAGAATGGGGAGTTCACTATACAACCCCGTGTATCCTTCGCTGCCGCTTCTGCCTTCTTCCCCAAAACGGGCCCCTTCTGGAAAATCGAATTCAAGCTTTTCGAACCTTCACATTTCCGATAAACCAAGGCCGAGAAGGGTTATTTCCATGAATAGTAAGGTTGGTTCCGTGGTTGATTCTCAAGCCGAAAAGCGGCTCTATCTCGGCATGGATTTTGGTACTTCCGGAGCTCGCTTTGCACTGATTGATGACGATGGAAATATGCGCGCCGAAGGAAAGAGAGAATACCCTTTGTATATGGTATGCATACTACCTTAATTTCTTTGAGCTTCATATTCCAAATTGTTAGAAGGATAATGCTACTTGCAACAAGTCCTTGTAGAATTGTACTAAGATGTTGCTATTTTATGCAATGTTGTATGGTTTAATTATATGAAATATTATCTTATGTTGTAAGATGTAGTGCAAATAGCATTGTCATTATTGGAAATGTGACTTAGACAAAATGGTTTTCTAGCTCTGAACTCAAGATATTTGCCAATGGGTTCTGCCACTTTTTTAAGTTTGGAGTTTTTGAAAGCCTTTCTCTAAGGTAAGGGGACTCTGACTTTTCGACCTTTATTAGGAGTATATACTGAGAGTTGAGATAGAGGCTTTAGTTCTTGAGAATTCAATATTGTCCATTAGGGAATTCTCTGTATGTGTATCTTTATAAAAAAGAATGCAGCAAACTCAGCATTGAAGTTAGTCTGGATTATGCAGAATACTTAAATTTCTGTTTCCAGAGAGGTGTTTGGAAATGAAAAATGTGATGTGTGACTTTTAAGTTTTAACTAGCACTCTTGTTCAATACTAAACCTGGAATGTTTGTTTTTCTTTTACTAGAAAGAAGGAGGAAGCAGTGGATTGGCTACGATCTTGGAAAGAAACTCTCTTCTCACTTCTTGAAGATGTGCCAGCTGGTCTTCGCCCTTATGTTGCATCTATTTCTATTGATGGGACTTCTGCAACTACTGTCATATTAGACAGGTGATAATTTCACTTTTTTCGTTTTGTTTCTCTTTCTCTAATTAATCAAATAGATATGGCATGAATCCAATTTAAATGATTCTGCAGCACTACCGAAGAACCATTATCTAAAGCATTCCTCTATAATGAGAGTTGTCCTGATGCTTTGCCAACAGTGAAGTCTATTGCCCCTCCGAACCATACTGTCTGCTCTGGATCTTCTACTCTTTGCAAACTTGTCTCTTGGTGGAACTCTTATGAGTCTAGTAAGAAGTCTGCAGTTTTGTTGCATCATGCCGATTGGTTGTTGTGGCTTCTACATGGCAAGCTAGGAGTTTCTGACTACAACAATGCATTGAAGGTATTCATTAGCTCTGTAATTTATCCTCTGGAAAATGGTCTTCATTCCAAACCTCGTTGCAAGTGATGTGGCTCGTGATAAGTATGCATATGCACGTTTCATGTACTCTTCAGCCACCTATTTTGCAATGTAGGTTGGCTATGATCCCGAAGCTGAGTCCTATCCACGATGGCTGCTTTCTCAACCATATTCTTATCTTTTACCTTCTGTGCAAGCACCTGGAGATTCAATTGCTTTTATAAAGGAGGATATTAAAAGACTTTATGGTATGTTTTCCCCTCCTTTTATGTGGTGGTCTAGAAATCAGTTAAGATGGTTGGTCGACACTGTTCCTTAGTGAAACTTTAGTAATTTCACTTCAAATATTGGACTTTGACACTATTGAGTCTCAAGTGTCCTCTCTATCTCCTGTCATATAGATCACAAAGGATACTTCATGCTGTAACCAGCTTGGTTGGCGTGAGTGGCCGTGCACTCTTGTCCCTTAAGAGAGGTCGGGAATTCCCTCCCTCTCTTATGGAAAAATCAATCTGGCCAACACTTTACCCCTTAATTGGGTTGGCCCGGTGCGAACGGAGATTAGTCTGAGTATGGTACGGGCTTAAAGGTGCCTCCTACAGTTAGGGTTTGCTCAGGATACCTCGTGGTCTGACCAAAAAAAAGAGGATACTTCATGTTGTAGTATTTTCTAATTAGTTTGCAATTTGAACAACCTTTAAAGCAAGCTTTGTAGAGTTTGAATTGACACTATTATTGTCCATCATGTTCAGGGTTCCCCCAAGATTGTGTTGCCTGCGCTGGAACCACTGATAGTATAGCAGCCTTCATTGCAGCACGCGCTACCCAACCTGGAAAAGCAGTAATACCTCAAACACTATTTTTCTCTTTGGACCTGCATAAAATTTGCAGTCAATAGGATTTTCCAATATTGTAACCAATCAGCAGGTCTCTGGACAATATGGGGCATTGTGTTACTATTGATTTAATTTTCCCTTGCTTTTGTTCAGGTCACATCTTTGGGTTCAACTCTTGCTATTAAACTACTTAGCACTAAAAGGGTAGAAGATGCTCGGTTTGGAGTGTATAGCCATAGACTCGACGATAAATGGCTCGTGGGAGGAGCTTCAAACACAGGCGGAGCTGTTCTAAGGAAACTCTTTACGGATGAGCAGGTTGCGAAACTGAGCGAGCAGATCAATCCCTTAGAACCCTCCCCTCTCGACTACTATCCCCTGCAAACAGTCGGTGAAAGATTCCCCGTGGCAGATCCAAAGCTCGAGCCTAGGTATTTTAGCCGCAGATTCTCAAAGCCCAAGAAGTTAAATTTGAGTGTCCTGTGAACCATATGAGCTGATCCCTGAAAATTTATATGCAGGCTACACCCACGTCCAGAGGACGATGTCGCATACTTGCATGGCATTCTTGAATCCATTGCTCGCATCGAGGTATAGAACCGAACAAACTCTCTCCACCTAAGGATTACATATATTTTGTAATTCATTTGTGTACATTTGCCTTAGGCAAAGGGGTACAACTTGTTGAAGGAGCTTGGAGCAACCCCTGTTGAAGAAGTACTTACGTCGGGTGGCGGCTCGAAGAATGAAAAATGGATTGAGATTAGAGAAAGGGTGCTGGGTATACCTGTACGCAAGGCACTTCAAACTGAAGCTGCCTATGGGGCTGCATTGCTAGCAATGAAGGGTGCACGTCAAACTAAGGTTGTTCTAACATGACAATATAAAATGGGTGGTGTTAGAGTGTTCGAGTAATCCTAAAATTATATTTTAGTTTGTCAAAGTGTACGAGATTAATCGTACTTGCAATTGCCAGGTTGTAATGCCTGTCCGACAACTACTTTTACGGTCACTGCCGGACTTGAATGTATATGTTTCGGAATCTTACATTAAAGTGAAAGAATTATATATGTTCTTATTAGGGTTGAATCTTGGTATAACCGAGGAGATGGCTCATGTCTATCTGTACTCATTCTGTCTCATTAGAGCATCCCCATTAGCCATTTTTGGAGAGAGAAGGTTGCTATGTTAATTTGAGTCTTTTTGGAAAATGTAAAAATCTATATCTATATCTATATATATATCTATATATATATAAAAGTAAAATTCTCCTATTTCATTTTTCCCGCCCAAACTTTTGTAGTAAAACTTATTTGGTAACTAAATGTAAAATAGAAATTAATTAAAATCTATTAATTGATAATATTGTTTTCATATTCACGTATTAACCTAATTGGTAAATCTATTAATTGGTTAAAATTTTTTCCTTATATTTATTTATTCATTCTTTTATATTGAGTAAGTATATATATAGAGATATAGATATGTATACTAACATACAACTGTTACGGCTCCAATGTTTATTCTTGCCCAGGATATTTCTCCATTGAAGACTTGCAGAGCTATTAGACTGCAATTGGTGCGCACCTATATGAAGTCTCATAGAGAAAGAGGAGTGAATCCATAAAATCTAGAGAGTGCATCTCTTCACGATCAAGAGGTATTTTTTTTTTCAATTTTGCTTTTTTTTATACGACTCCAATGTTTATTCTTGCCTAGGATATTTCTCCATTGAAGACTTTCAAAGCTATTAGATGGTGATTGGTGTGCACCTATATGAAGTCTCATAGAGAAAGGTGAGTGATTCCATAAAATCTAGAGAGTGCATATTTCCCGATTAAATGGTATTTTTTTCGATTTTGTTTTTTTCTAGAACTCGTGTTGTATATGAAATTGGGAAAAAGATGCATTACAAAGTTGCTTCTTATACTGCAAAAATAAATTACAAAATAACACTTTTCTTTTTTACTTCATTGTAGGAAACTTCATGCTCATATACCAAGGGAACATGTTGGTAAGTACTGTAAGCTTTTCAAACAATGAAAAGTTTATGCCATTAAAAATTTTATGGTGATAAGTATTTTCTATATTTTCAAAAAATGCACTCATTATTTTATGTTGTAATTCCACTATGGTACTTTGGTTAAAGAATATAAAAAAATGACAACTTTTCTAGACAAATTTATTTATTGAAATCATTTTCATCTTTGAAGTCTGTAGATGATAAACAATTCATTGGTAAGTTTCATTTACAATTTTAATCTACATCTGAATTCTTTTTTTTTTTTATTAACATGTTTGACGTTATTGGTAGGGTCGTTGAGATATACTCCCCATTGGATAAGATCATTGCATGGAAGCTTTCTTAACTTATTGATTTTCTAATTGTACGTGGATACAAAGTAAATTATCTAATTTTGTTATTTTTATTGTATTTTGTATATGTATTTTTTATTAAGAACTCCGTAGTTTATTTGTTTATAGGGACAATCAATTGAAAGCTACAGTGTGGGATCAACATATACCAAGGCCAAGAGTTGAAACTTTTTTTTTTTTTTTTTATATTCTGGCCTTGCAAATCCTATGGTTGTTCTTATGCAATTGTGTAGAGTTAAAAATGATACGAAGAGTTAATCTAAACACAAGTATTTTAATTTTTCTTTATATTTGAAAGTGTTTGAATAAGGACAAGTAATGAATGTTCTTTTTGATTAGCCAGTTATGTCAAGATATGTAACTCTTTGATACATAGCTCCTTTTCAATCAGGATTTTCAGAGTTTTTTGATTTTTTGGAAAGGTAAATTTATTATGTCTTAATCATTATCATAATGTTTTTATCATTTATTTTTGTACATATTTTGTTTATGATTATCATTTTTTTTTTCAGTTTATGTGTTGATTAGACCCCTCTAATAAAAATTATGGATATTTATGAGATGATTGAGGTAAACAATATCAATAATTTTTATTTGTTTTTAAATTGATGCAGTGGCATCAAATTAGAAAATCATATTTTTCCACTTTTTAAAATGATTTATTAGTATAAATTGTCACACTTTAAAATGTATTTTTTTTTTAATGTTAATAAATAAATTAGCTTAAAATAATACATTAAAATCTAAAGGATAAGCAAAGTATAATTTAAAGTATAAAATAAAGCCAAAGTTGTACATGTTTGCAAAGTGATGGAGCATTGTAATAGTCTTAGTACATCCAAATAAAGGCATCATTTAACTGATTATTTCTTTCTTATCTCACATTAAAGGTTCAATACTGCAGATATATATAAGTATTAGTAATGACATTGGTACTGCTAAATGTGTATATAACTAATTATTTATTGATTTAGGATCAAAGAGTGACCTATATGATCTTAGAGCTCAAATTTTACTTCCAGATATATTAGTTACATTCTATATCTCTCTCTCTCTCTCTATATATATATATATATATATATATATATATATATATATATATATAAGTAAAATCCTCCTATTTCATTTTCTCGCCCAAACTTTTGTAGTAAAACTTATTTGGTAACTAAATGTAAAATAGAAATTAATTAAAATCTATTAATTGATAATATTGTTTTCATATTCACGTATTAATCTAATTGGTAAATCTATTAATTGGTAAAAATTTTTCCTTATATTTATTTATTCATTCTTTTATATTGAGTAAGTATATATAGAGATATAGATATGTATACTAACATACAACTGTTACGGCTCCAATGTTTATTCTTACCCAGGATATTTCTCCATTGAAGACTTGCAGAGCTATTAGACTGCAATTGGTGCGCACTTATACTATAATTAAAAACAAAATCCTATTTATTTGATTTCCTGTCCAAACAATAGTAAATAGTAAAGGTAAATTAAAAAAAATGAAAAAAATGAACATAAATATTTCACAATAATATTCTACATCATCAATTAAAAATGGAATGGAAATTAGGTAAATTGGAAAAAGAAATGAATATTAATAATTTATTGAAAATTAAAAAAAAAATTGAAGTTAGGTTAATTGGAAAAGAAAATGAATATTAATAATTGACTAAAAATAAAAATGATCCATAATTGAATAAAATGAAAAAGGAAATGTTTAGATCATTGCATTTAAATTTTTCACAATAATATTATATAGTATAATACATCAAATCACAATTATGTCATAAATCTTTCACAATTTTAAACAATGAAATGGAAATTAAAAATAGAACGCAAATATTTTAATAATAATATTCTACATCATCAAGTAAAAGTAAATTAAAAATAAAAAGGAAATATTTACATAATAATATTCTACATCATCAATTAAAAATGGAACGAAAATTAGGTAAAAATATCACTGCATCTGATATTCTAATTGACTAATTGAATGAAAATAAAATAAAATAAAAAGAATAATTGGCTGAAAATGAATATGACATTACAAATTGACTAAAATATAAAAAGAAATGAATACTAATAGTTGACTGCAAATAAAAAATGATCCATAATTGATTAATATGAAAAAAAAAATAAATGGTTTAATCATTGCATTTTAATTAAAAATGGAGCGGAAACTAAAATTTGACGGAAATATTTCAATAGTATTTCTACATCATAAATAGTAAGTGCATATTTTAAACAATATTAAGGATAAATTAAAAATGGAACGTAAATATTTCAATAATAATATTATACATCATCAATTAAAAATTGAACGAAAATTAGATAAAAATATCACTGCATATGATATTCTAATTGACTAATTGACTAAAAATATAAAAGAATAATTTGCTGAAAATGAATTTGATATTACTAATTGACTTAAAATATAAAAGGATCGCTAATTGACTAATACTCTACCATTATATATTTTCACCTGAGTCACCTATCCTGATGGACTGAAGGTGTTAGCTCTATACGATGATGGACAGGATTACGTTGCTACAACCAATGTCATCTACAAACAGATTTCAATAATGTGTAAATACAATCGTTGATATTATGTTTTTTTAAATGACAAAATTGCTATATAGCTAGACAAATATATATATATATATATATATATATATATATATATATATATATATATATTCCATACAAATGAATTAAGATAGCAATTCATTCCTATAACTGAGTTGCTAGAGAACGAACATATTTGCCTAATTTATAAAAAAAAAAAAAAAAAAAACTAAACAATGATAAATAAATTATCCAAAGTTACAGCATCGCATGCGTACATCTACACATTAACTATTAATTTGAGCAATTATTTGCTCAAATTCAAACAATGATAACATCAAAACACATAAATAATCCAAAACATATCTTCAATTGCACTGTATAATATTTGATGTTCTAATTTAAATAATTATATATCAATCTAAATATTTTTAATATATTATAACAAATCCATCCCGTGCATCGCACGGGCGAAAATACTAGTAATAATTAAAAAGAAAAAGAAAAAGAAAGCACACCAACACTACCAAGCAGGAATATTTTATTAGTATTAATTAATTTTATTTTAACTAGTGATATGTTTGTCAATTTATAAGCATCTACTAATTAAAAATTAGAGCAAGGTCATCCGTGCAATTTTCTTGATTTTTAAAACAATAAAAAAAATTGAGCAATTGATTTTAGTCTAATGGGGAGTTTGGTTTTTTACAAAACTTTTCTCTTGCAAGAATCATAGAAGAAAAAAAAGAGTTGAAGTGCGCATTTGGAGCGCACTCTGTGCCTCAGCGTGCGTGTGTTTCCTACGCATTCCTGGGGCGCATCAGAGTGTCCGCAGTTGGCGGCAACTCTGACATTTTATTTATTGCTATCCTTTTATTTTTTTCTAATTGTCATAAATGTTTTTTTTTTCTCTCTCCTAGTGGCCTCCTAAAATGTTATGCAAAAACTCAACAGATGGAGATGCTCTTATATCAAGATAGGAAATATGATTAGGGACATTGAGAAAGGGTTAGAAGGGTTTTCCATAAATGAACTAAATGAGGTCCTAAAATTTCTGGAGTTCTGGACCAAATGCACCCTTAGGGGATTTTACATGGTTTTTGCAGGTGAGAGTGCATAGGTGAAGTAGAGAGATGGAAGAGAGAGAAGAAGTGGGGGTGTTAAGTTGTAGGAGGAGTTGAGTTTTTTTTAAGATTTGTGGGTCTCACTAAGGGTCCGTTTGGAAAGTAGGAAAATGACTTCTGGAAAATGGTTTCTGGAAAATGAGTCATTTTTCGGAAAACATTTTCCTTTTCCAGTGTTTGGTTGCATTTGGAAAACTGTTTTGGTGTGTTTGGTTCATTTTCTAGAAAATGAGAGTAGAATGGTATAATTAAATATTTTAATTATTTTATTCTAAATTAAAAATTTATTTTAAATCTTTAAAAAAAAAAAAAAAAAAAAATTATGGGTTCCGCCGGAAACCGAGGGTGGTTTCTGGCGAAACTGGGTTCCGCCAGAAACCATAGAATTTAAAAAAAAAAAATGAAAGAGAAGAGGCGGAAAACGACTTCCGCCCAAATTTGACGGAAGTCGTTTTCCGCCAAATTGGCCTCATTTTCCCCAGTCAACGGAAAATGGATTCCGTTGACTGGATTTTTCAGGTGTAGCCAAACACCAAAAACCCGAAAAATGACTTCCAGAAGTCATTTTCCGGGTTTCCAAACACAGCCTAAAACAAAAAGCAACTCCTTAATAATGCCTTAGCTTCACTTTCTGCGCCCAAATGGGCGCGTGTACTACACGGCCAGGGGCGGAGCCACTTGCATGGTGCAGGGGTCCCTTCCCCCCCTCCCCTCTACCCAATTTTTTTTTTTTTATATAGTGCTTTATTTTGGTGTCCTCTCTCAAAATATTTGGCCCCTCCAAAATAATCTTATATTCTTCAATGAGTAACCTAGTCATTTTTTTCATATATATCTTTGAAGCTTTGAATCTTTTGATGAATTACTGGTATTGTATATTTTCATTTCTCTTTAAGCAACATTCTTTGAATAATTGCATTAATGGCGACTTCGGTCTTCCATATCAAAGAAGATGGTGATTACATAAACAAATAATTAAATATAGAGTAAATACCTAAAATGGTCTCTCGACTATAGCTAAATTCACAAATTGGTCCTCGACTTTCAATTTTAACCAATTAAGTCCTTAACTTTGCAATTTTGACACGATTTGGTCCTCCATCTATTTGACTATTTGTTGACCGTGACCGACGATCTCCAGAAGAACCTTCCGCTCTCGTCGGAGCACGTGGAGGCCTCCAGGATGACGTTGCACCGGTTCGGAAACACGTCGTCTTCTTCGCTCTGGTACGAACTCAACTACATTGAATCCAAAGGGAGGATGAAGAAAGGCGATCAGATTTGGTAGATTGCTTTCGGCAGTGGATTCAAATGTAACAGTGCGGTCTGGAAATGCAACTGGAATCTTAAAAACCCGACGATGGACCATGAAATTACATATATATCCTAAAAAATCACAGTCAACAAACGGTCAAATAAACAGATGACCAAATTGTGTTAAAATTACAAAGTTAAGGACTTAATTGGTTGAAATTGAAAGTCGAGGACCAATTTGTGAATTTAGCTA